TTTCGTTAAAGGTACACGCATGACGCATTAATCTAAAATTGGGAGGTGAGTATACGCCGCGGTGTACCCGCGTGTACCCTACACTACACCACTGCTTATATACCTAGCCATTGTTAAGTGAAATTAAAATATGTTTGGTTTCAGTGTTAATTCAAATACATTTTTCTTAAGTGAAAATAAATTTAAAATACTTTTAACAACATAGTTTTCATTATATTACTCTAAATATATAAAATATTAAAATTTATAGTATATAAATGACTAGTGTAGTCTTAAAAGTTATAATTTTTATAAGAGTATTATGATTTATGTTGTTATTTGGTTGGTAAAACTTTTAATAAATCTATTAACTTAATTTTAATATGTGGTATTGATAATGAATAGTAATTACCACTTCCATTTCAGTAAACTGATTAGAAACAGTTGTTACAACTTACAATATTGTACAAGTATAAGTTATATCATTAAATACACTACCTAATTTTTTCCTTTTGGCAATTTATCATTTTATCGACCAAATTTTGTTCACAATAATAAGCATAAATAATTTTAATTATGGCCCCTTAGTTAAAAGTGACACTAGGGGGCAGTTAGTCTAGTTGCGCCACTGGTTATAATCAGACTAAATTATTGGGATTAATAATTTGTTGTATTAAGCCAACCGCCTATATGGTATATGTATCTGGTCTAGAGACATGACCATTTTCGACTTAAATCATCCCTCCACTTTTTGGTCGGTTCACTTTTCGACCAAATTAAAAAAAAGTTGATTTCTTTTACGACCAGAATTGTATCTTTCTCTTTTAAATCAAACCAAAAAGTTTAATATTTACCTAGGTACTATCTGTTCTAAATATTGAAAGTATTAATAAMATTTTAAGTTGTATAAAATGTATTATATATAGGTAATACTGTAATATGTAAATTAATAATAATACATATATTAGTAATATAATAATATATAATATATAGTTATATATATTTATAGTACCTAATATAMATTTTTATAAATTATTATTTAATCAATATCTTCTACAGTTATATTATAAGAATGCTMATGTTTTGTCTAAATTTAAAAATTACAAGTATGTACCTTTTCTACCTATTATTTTATACATAATATAGAAAATAATTTATAATTTATTCTAAACTGTCCTTTTAAATAAAAGATTTTTCTACACTAAATTATTAGAATTTTTAAATGTTTCATCCAGTATTAGATTGAAGTAGTTGTGTAAAATTCTTATAACCTTTTTTTTTACTTTTAGGTCGAAGAATTTTACAAAGAGTCCTCRATAGTTGTGGTTAATGAAGTAATTAATTTAAGATTTCGGCCTGAATATTTAGAATGGCGCGTTCTGACATATGATATAGCAAGTGGGCGTAAAATTTTCAACGTCTTAAAAAATCTAGAGCCGAAATCTCATGAATTGTATAAAAGAATGTTACAACTTGAAACATTGAGCATAATTTCTAAAGGAAGCAAACATATTAAGTAYATGAGAAAATTATACAGTGAAGCATGCAATTTATTTGGACACATGGACGTTGGTARGACATTTTTTATAATAACTTTATAATAATAAATACATAAAGATATAAAATAAATAAATGTTTTAAATTAATCTTTATAGAGTTATGGAGCGATTGCATAAAATTTGAGTATACGTACGGTCTCCGTTCATTAGTAGATGTGATTTTTGAAGCAGGAGTAAATCTTTTAGAAAATCCAAGTTTAAAGGAAGAATTAACGAAGATTAAACACGAACTCGACGAACAACATAAGTTAGTATCATGATATTATTGATTATTACGTTGTTTCTTTCATTTTTTTATTTGTTAATTACCTATAAAATTAATTAAACCATTTTTAGACAACAAGAAGTAATAAACATCGAAGATGATGACGAATGAACTAATATCATCTATCTACCTAACTAAACTTTCCATTTCAACTTTTAAATATAATACCTTATAGCTGTGTAGTAGGAAATAAACAATAAGTGTTATCTACTGAGAAATTATTGTCCATTGGTACCAAATTATTAAGTATATTATTTTTCATGTTAATAACACAAAAACAATTTATTTGAATTAACTTTTTTTGCGATGGGTGGGTTATATAATTTTGTATTGTTTATATTGGTTATGCAGATCAAAAGGTGTGATTCGAATACATTTTGAAATACCTAYCTGTGTTATTAAAACTAGCTCACAAACTTCTTAAAATCTTTTGTAAGACCATGTTTATAACTTAATTTTAAACACTACCTTAAAGTACGGGTACTCACTCTTTTCCATTTTTCAACTTGTCTCATTAATACAAATATTATTTGCAATTAATTTGAGAACTTAATAAAAATAATGAAAATAATGTATTRTAACTTTATATTTTATTCTAAGACCAAAAATCATTTATTGATTATAATACTATGATTATATACCATTTTTATTTTACCAAACTTAAAATCAAATTTATAAGGAAATACAAATATGTCCTAAAATAATTTCCATTATTAATGTATTGAATTTAGGTGTTACAACATTGAAAATAAAATAAAATATTATGTAGATGTTTTAAGCTCATTTTATATTTTGTTTTTTGGAGTGCTACTGTTTTTTATTCCAACTAATGTCAAGTCTTGGAATTCATAAATCGGAAAATGACTGATAAAAAAAAAATCATTTTCCTTTTTACTATACCATTTTCTTCCATTTATATTATTAATTATTATTATTCGGGTGTATGATAAAAATATTATAATTTATAATTTTCTTTAATTTCTTTAATTTCATTATTTGTTTGGTAGTTTATTATTTATATATTTATACGATAGGTACCTATTATTGTATCTACTTCATAGTATACTTTATTTTGTATTATGTATTATGTAAAGTTTAAATTATAAAACTAGATTAGTTATATAAAGTACATAGTAAAATATGTTTTTGTGGTAGATTAACAATATACCTAAGTACCTACTAAAATTCATAAATACCATTTTGACGATTAGAACGATTTTGTAATAGTATCTCTGGAAAGCAATAACAATAAGTCTTGATGGCATACATGATGGATTCAGCGTAGGTAATGCTTTACATTTTGTTTTTTTATAATTATATAATATACTTTACTTATTTATTGTTACAGTGACAGGGCGTGCTTGAGAGAGAACAATAGTCTCGTACTATTGTTGCACAATGTRCATGCCGTTTATTAATCACACAGTTCTTAATTTTGTTCCAAGTTGTAGATAATTTGGACTATGGACCAACATCACGTAACGTGCTGTATTAAATTTATTTATAAGACTAGCTATTTCATAATTAAAAACATTTATGTAGCGCAATTTTATAATCCACATCAACTTGGACTTTAATCTTCAAATAAGAATACGAAAGAATAAGTATTTAAAAAATATATTGTGCAACGTTTTCTTTTGAATACATCAGTAAAAATATCTGTTGGGAGGAATTTTATCTCTATGACCTATTTAGCATTTTTTACCACAGTTCTTCTTACAAACACGCCCTTGATCATTGATTCAAATAGCAAAYCTATTGCATTCCCAAAAAACATGTGCTATGTAAAATKATTATAAAYTAGATATATAGGTATTACAATATTGTAGTATGGCTATTATTACTTATACTCTTATTTAAATGTCTGTGTACTTAAACTTATAGTTAAAAAATATACATGATTTCAGTTTTACTGTAACATTGATTTAATTTATTTATACCTATAATTTTGTAACTAGATTTTTAGAAGTTAAGTGCTTATGTAGATGAGTGTTTAWCTCCAACTAAACATAATTTATATGTACCTAATTTAGTGTTAAGGGGATAAAATATTTAATGGGTTGCATACGAGTTAGTTGTACTAAACWAAAAATTGTTATAGGTGCAAGTTAGGTCCGGGATTATTATGTAACTATTGTTACTATATTATGTACTTATAGTTAGTTGTTGAGTACTAAACTTCACTCTAGTTTTTAAGCTAACAGAGTTAAACGAGATCTGMTAAGCGTAAAATTTGCTATATGGTATATGTTTGCGCTCAAACCTTTTTATTATTATTATGTTGGTGACAGTGGACTTAGCAGCAACAGCTGTGTGGTAACCACTGTCCACTGGCAAAGACGGCCGACGTCTTGATCGTCGGTTATCATTTCGTAATTCGCTCTCTTTTTTTGCAACTGCCGAGCAGTTAACACGTTTGCTTGAATACATCCTTTGAAGTTGTTTTCCTTTTTTGTCTTTTGTGATTTTTGTCAGCCGAGTCTGGACAAAACCACATGCTTTTGTTATACTTCTAGTGAAGGTAGTTGTACGTTTTTTGTTGTTGTTGTCGCAGCCGAGTCTGGGCGAAGCATTTATTTCATCATCCAGCGGTCCGAAGACATCGGTTTGTCCATTACATTGTATATTCAAAACACATTTTCCTAGTGTTTCATTCTTTATAACCATCAAAGTTTCAAGGTTTCCTTTGTTAAAGTACCTATCGTYCTGAGAATCAATCATTCAAACTATTATATTACATTTTTTCCCTGTAGGTGGTCATATATGTTCTGTTTGTGGCGCGTTGTCCTGTGAATTATTCGTCAACGGTTACCTCTAAGCGGTCGCACGTGTGTGGTTGTTCTCAGTATTATATTTGTTTTTATTATTATTCTAAATACGTTCCCGGCACGGTCGCGTGGGATAAAATCCACCGCCAAAGGTACCGTCTGTGTTGCTACTGTGAGTATCTTATTATAATATACATGTAATTGTTATACTCATTTGTATAATTTGGTCAACTGAGGAATATTATATTATAATATTTACATTAATTTTTTTTATTGTTGTGCCAAACAGGCAATGAATATTTATTAAATTATATTCTCAACGAGGCAGTATAGGTATTTGTTATTATTTCATCTTTATTTATTTAAATTATTAAAAAGTAGGTATACAGTCCACATGACCACATATTATTATTTCATAAAGCGACAAGGTTGTTCATCAACATTTTGGTCACCTTATGCATTTRCAGTATGCATACAGGTAATACCATCATTATCTCATGGGTAATATTACCTATTGCGAACCGTTTATAGTTTGTTTTTCCTATATTAAGGCTACAGCATTATTAAGTATTATTATAACACAATTATTTTATCACCACTCAGAATACAAAGGTGAAATGGTATCATAAACAAACGAACATTTACACAAATTAACAATAAAAACAACTTTTGAATTTCATAATTTGAATCTTCGTAATTTGAAATAAATTTCCATAACATTACTTAATTTAAGTCGTAAAAAATGTATATTGTTTTAATCTGCATTAGTTACTAAMTATATTTGTTTATTTTAGGTATTTTTTTGTCGGTTTCATAGATATGTAGGTACAATAAAAATGTTCGATAAGTGTAGAATTTTACAATACATCCCGTGATTGGTATTGCAACTGTGAAGATGAATAGATACTAGGTAACTATATTTGAGTAACCTCATTAGACACGCATCTTATGTAACTTAAATTACTGTGGTAATAGGCAAATCAATGGCAGGCCCTTAACAACATTTTATCTAATTTTTTAATAAGCACATAACTATTGCAAAACATATTTATAGGTTCGAATAGTTAAAATATTTTCTAAATCAACTTACTTTATTGCAAAAATAGGAGAGAGACACCGCTCCTACATTAYACAACGTGAACGCCACATTCTAATTTACCATTTTAATTAAAATGAAATAATATGGTTATATTAACTATTAATCCAAGTAATGATTAACACTGAGTAGAACCAAATTTGTGTTGTCAGCTTAAGTGTGAGAGTAAATTGGCYGAATATCAATCTCAGAGGAAAGAAAAATATTCGTGTTTGTATATAATTAAATAAATGAAAAGCATTAAAAATTACATTTTCGAACGATTTATAAGTATGTAAATACTAAATTATTAAACAATAGACACAGTATAGTAATTATTACTTATTGACAACCTATATCAAAATATGAATCTWATTATACTTCATAAAAGTTGTTCGACAGGTTCTTTTTATCAACATCAATACTTATTTCTTGTCATATATTTTTATCAATTAACTTGCATATCGCAGAATAGTAGTATCCATCAGATGTTTTAATTTGCTATTTCAATTCTCATAAATCACAATGATTATTAGTTTGATTTCTGATGTTTAATGTCACTTCGTGCACATTCAACACTTTTGGTGAATACAATTCTTTGTTTTGACATAGTCAAAAGATATAGACTGTAGCCCATAAGCGCAAAATACGACCCAAACGCAACCCAAAAGCGCAAAAATAATTACCCATAAGCGCAAAAAAAATTACCTTTTAAATAACCCATAAGYGCAAATCAAATTTATAAAAAAAAATCGTATTTAATTAAAATTTTAGTTATTATTAATATTAAATTAAGCATTAACAGTGGTATTAATTAGTTCAAAAAAATCAAAAAATCAAAATATAATTTTAAATTATTTAAACAAGTATCAAAAAAAAAATCATTAATACATTTTCAGTAAAAATAGAAAATACAATTTTAAGTATTATTTTAACCTAACTTTAAACGCCTTAAATTTGAAACTTGAAACCTACTGTTTTCAAGTATTCCAATCTATAAATTTTTTTTTCTTTATACAAGGTCCAAGTTTTTATATTGGAGATGACTTTTGATTTTCGATTCGTAGATTTTTGACCATTTGATTGTAATTTTAAATAAACTTCTGCTTGATGTTCTTTAATCACTTCAGTAAAATTATAAATAGATGGGCGTGGGTTATAAAATTGATCTTTAAAATGACGGTGATATGATTCTGGACCATTGGTAGTCCTAGGCTCGTTCGAAGGTGGCTCAGCCCAGAGATGTGGTGGATATCTGCTGTCATTTTCAATAAAATTCGCTAAAATATAATCTGAGAA